TTTGCAGGTTGCTGGTAAAGAAGCCTTAGCTGTGGAGTCGTTTGGACGTGCTATGGCCCAGCTTCCAACGATCATTTGCGACAATGCCGGTCTTGACAGCGCTGAGCTTGTCACAAGGCTAAGAGCAGAACATGCAAATGGCCACCATAACATGGGAATTGGTGCGTTTTGCAGAATTGTTGTATGCCTTTGTTGAATTTTGGAGTTGTGTTCCAGATATTGAGAAGGGCGCAGTCGCGGACGTCGTAGCTCTAGGCATCGTGGAATCGCTCAACGTGAAGATGTGCATGGTTTCGAGTGCAGCTGAAGCTGCGGAGCAAATTCTCCGCGTTGACAACATCATCAAGTGCGCTCCTCGACCTCGTGCTCCAGATAATCGACCATGCTAAGTAAAAATCTCCTTTTAGCATCAATGTTATGCAATTGATTGTTTTTCCGTTTTGTTATTTGACCTCGTTATACCCCCAAGCTTTGATCTACACGAGTTTGTTAATCATTGTTATCTCGCATGTCTCAAATTTTTTTCTAAGATGAGAGCTGCTTCGAATGTTCTCCGAGTGCTGTGCCACATAGTCATGCACTGCATAGCTGTTAATTGTTCTTGTTTTTATTCGAATAAACTCGTGCAGAAATTGGCAAAGGAATGGGCAGAAAATTCTTTTCGAAACATCGTTCCAAGTCTTACAAATTTCTAATTTAAATTAATCACAATCATTACACTCTTATTTCTGAGGTCTAAGAGACGAGTAGTAGCTCATATGTCATAAATTTTCGTATAGGGTTTTGATGTGTTTTCAAGAGTTGGAGGAAGTGAAAGTACACGTTTTGTCAATTTAAGCATTTCTTCCATTAACAGCGAAAGAAACGCTTAGACTAAAAAGTAGCTTGGACTTTCGCAGGTGATCATCGAAATGTAGTCAATGTTCTCATAAACAAAAATATACCAATATGGCTCCATTGCATTGCCGCCTTGCCATAAATGCAAACAGTGCTCTTACTAATTGTTCATGACCTGCTCTTGGAATGTCGGCTTGATCTTGAAAAGTGTCAGTGAAGGATTAGCACTTTGCGCCTTGAAGGACCCAGTGACATTTATGCTTAATGCGGTAGAATTTGTCGTAAGATGCTGCTAAAAATAATTATAGGCCAAAGATGTTCTTTGATTGTCTTAGGGCGCTTATCCTCTTAGACAATCGAGAATTCAATAGGCGCAGAGTTACTAATTGCACC